AACCGCTCAAATCTTGCGCTACTTTGGGCGTTTTTTTATCTTGCGCTACCGAGTTGACATTCCATACAATTCCATACAAAAAATGCTTATCATACAATTGCATGCATGGGTTCTATGGAATTTATTTTTTTCATAGGATTTCCACCTATGAAAATGGTATGACAATCATTTTTTCGATAAACAAAATGTTAGCTGCGACACAAACAATTTTCCAAGTAATTTTGTAAGTTCGGCCAAAAAATTTTTTGTTTTTTTTTTCAACCGCAAATCGAATTTTTTACGCAAACAAACATTTTCCGAAAAAAATTTTTTGCATGCTAAATTAAATTTTTTGTGTGCATAACGTAGTCCTGGATACGATAATATTGGCTTTTTTTTTCACATCAAAATTATTTTTCAAAAACGCTGAAAATTCCTTATTCTTTTGAATGGCGTGTTTATGTATGCCTGATCAATGTCTGACTTTTGAAAATTCAAAAATTTAAAATAATCATCATTGAAAAAATTTGCAACTTTTGTTATATCATTTGTGAAAGACAGCTAGAAGTCACTTCAGGTCGTTTTCTATGCATTGTAAAAGCAAGACCGTCCAACCTTTGGTGCTTTGAGTAACCAAGGTCTTTGTCACTTGGGTTCGTTTGCAAACAGAACCCAAATTGTTTCGGAAAATAAAAATAGAAACAAAAACCAACTTTTTGGTTTAAGGCAAAAACATCTGTCATACAATTCCATTTAACTGGCTATTATACATCGCAATTGTATAAGAGAGAGACTCTGCATGACTGGAAGAGAACGTCGCTATAAAAATGGTTGAATGTGGTTAGGAGAGATTTTTCCGTTGTTTTTGCGGAGTTTGATTCTAGAGGAGTTGCCATATCCACTGTTTTGGAGGTCCAAGGCGTCACCTCTGCGGCAACGGCTTCAAGAGGGTCAGTATTCGGAGTCGGCATTCGTATGTGTTAACGAGGTAATTGTAGCGCGGTTATTTTGCTCTTATGGGAAGCATGTTAGCTCGTATGAAATCTCCATAGTGTTGACTACCAATTGCTCTAAATAACTTGCTCTGCAGTGCTGTTTGATGCTGTTTTTTTATCAGGACTACTAATGACAGTTACCGGGCTCGGTTTCTCTAGCTTCGGTGGTTCTTTCTACTTGAACAGTGATAATTGCGAGTTGGCGAATTTCGTTAAGAGTTCGATAGATGCTAGAATTAAAATCGGATTAAATGTCAGCAATCGTAATCTGGAGGTCTTGTGTCAGTGGAGACTCTGGAATCGTAATAAACTCTGGTTTTGCTGGAATTTGCTATTTGTCAGGACCGACCGAAATTCTAGCCGAATATTTTTAACTTCTTCTTCATATTGTAAAAATGTTTTCTCAGAGCTACACTTCCCTTCGTTCCTCCTCGTGGTGTTAAGTTCATCGAAATTGGCTGTTTAGTGTCTATAGACTTATTCGCTTCGTGAGCATTTCAAGCTGTTTTTTTGATGTCGTTTTTTGTGGCCTAAATTTTTAGCAGGTGGTCTTTCTTTCTCGTTTTCTTATCAAATATTTCCGGCTTTTTGGGCATTTTTTTTTCAGTTTTTGTTGGGTTTCTGGTTTGTCAAGTGAACAAGTGTCGGATATTTTTCAGTTGGGATTTTTAAAAGGGCATTTTCTTCTGTATCAGTTGATTCAGAAGTTGACGAAATTTATTCAGTCAATGTTTTTAAATTGTCGAATTTGTTTTAAAAGACAACTGTTTTAACTCGTCCGTAAACAGCTCAGTCTGCAATGTAAGTTTTAGCAAACATACAAAATGGCTCGCTCGTTTAAAATTTGGAGCTATTTCGCAGCATAATTTTTTTCTTATTTTTTCTCGTTCAGTTTCAATTTCTTTGGTCACAGGTTACAGCAGTCGTTCTGGTTGTGGTTGAAAATGAGGTGTTTTTTTTTTCGTTGCTTATCATTTGAGGTTTTATTATGACCTTGTTAATTTCTAAAAAGAGGCTTACGTTATCAATTATATAAGCATAATTAAATAAGCGTATATTTATCGATTATCAGCTTACTTAAGAACAATTGACGAAAACCATATGGAGCTTTTTGTATTTCTGTTCAGCGGGGGGCGGATTTTCAAAAAATGTTCGAATTTTTGTCGACTTTTTTTAGGTCGAGCAAGATGATTTTCCGAGCTCTCAGAAAGCACTAATTAGTATATATTGGCGCCCAAGGCGCGTTTAGAAAAATTTTAGGGTCGGTCGGCCAAAAATGGATTTCTTAAAAAGTACCAAAGGGGGGAACCTTCGGGTCGGCAGGGAGTCGAATCCCTGAGAGGACAACGTCCACCCCCGCCCCCTACCCCCTAAATCCGCCCCTACCGTTGAGTGTAAAGGCTATGTTGCTATTAACTCGAAAAAATTTTCAGCTTTTTGTTCCAATTACTGTAAACTTTTTCTGAAAACTTTTTTGAGTTTTGTGCCAACTCGATGGAATTGTCTCGGTGTTATTAAAGGACTCATACATTGAACTACATCTTGACAGTTTTGCCCGATGTCCATCCATCAATATGAAATAAAGTTTTAACGTTACTGCTAATTAAACGTACCATTACTACTATAGGACTGATACACAAATTTCCAATCAGCTATACAGTTTTTCTGTGTGCGTCCTTAAAATCTTAATTGACGCAGAATTTGATTTCAGAGGTAGAAGCTGAAATGGGTTTCGTTTTTTGTCCGTTTTTTTTGCTCATTTGCATCATCTGTCCTAGCCATTCGATAATGTTTGGTGTTTTCATTTTGATCAATACCACAAAATTAATATAAATTCCCTTGTTTTTTTCCTGGAAAAAGTTTTAAAGTTTGATCAGGCTCAAAACTTTGATTGTTCGCAGTTTGAATCATTGTGTTATGGTCTTGTTTTTCTATACTTTTTTTATTTGAAGGCCATTTCTTATATTGAATAACACAAATTGGCTTTATTTTCTCACAAAAAAGTAAGACACGTTTTTTTTCTCTGTGGACATACTTTGTTTTGTCTTTAGAATTTACAAAACTTGAAGCTTTCATTCAGAGAACAAGTCAAGATTGTTATTTTTATTTTTTTTTTCGATTCATTGGTTTTCTTGAAAAATATTTTTCAACAAAGTATTTACAAACTACATCGACACTATTAGAAAAGAGAGAAATCTGATACTATTGTAACATCAAAACTTGCTGCAAAAATCCTCTTTTTTTTGGTTTTTTTGCTTTTCTTTATCCGAAGAAAACTGATTCCACATATATCATCACAGCATAATTTTGAACAATTTTAATATTTCTCGAATCTGGACGTCAAATATTGACACAATAGTGTAAGCGAAGGCGGTGATTGAGTTAGGTTTACAACACGGCCGTTTTTTCAGCTCAATTTTTAAAGCTTAAGATAAAAAAATAAGCACTACAGTGAATTACAGAATTTAAAAAAAACAGTGTATCTAAACTGATACATCTACAATTGAATTATAGAAACTAAAAACAAATAGATTTTGTAGACAATGGCTAAATCCTTGTCTCTAAATTGAACAGCAAACTCAGTTTTTTTCTCTTACTCAATCTTGCCTTTATGGAAGTCAAAAAAAATTACGTTTGTTGGCAATTTCTGGGATAATAGCAAGTTATGGAATTTTGAGATTAAACAAAAACTATCGAGACACTGAATTCAACTCACAATTTTTTATTGGTATTCGCACAACGCGTTCGGCGCTAATTTCCGCAAAGTATTTTTTCAGTCTGTGGAATGCACGACGCGAGGTATCACATTTTTGAGCTCTGCTACGCACCGGAGCTTAGAACTGTGCCCTGCCGCAGTAGTCTTGCAATCATGCCACATTAGGTGTGTAACAAAACTGCGAACTCCATAAAAAACTTTGCGGAATCTGAAACATTTTCTGGAATCCACAAAAAATTGTAACAAAACAAAGTAATGTACAAATACGCCGCCGCTGAGTCTGCAAACTGTTAGAGGATTCAGCAAATTGTAAGCGTTATCCACAAAATGACTTCGGAACCCGGAAAAATTATTCATAATTGTTTGTTGCGGAATCCGCGACAAAAGTAAGATGTTGACAAAATTTACATCACACGTTTTTGAGCAAGGAATCCGTGGAAATTTTCTAAATGGAAACCACTAACGTTTTGAGTTTTTTAAAGTAATTATAAAAGTCTGAAGTTTTTTTTTGCGTCGTTTGATTTTTGATTTTTTTTTCATTTTGAGTTGAATTCATTTTTTTTTCTAATAGCTTTCAACAAATATATTGGACTAAACTTCTGAACATTGATAAAAAACTCTAGAAATTCGAATGCTTTGAGGCTGTGTATTTTTTCTTCGAAAACCGAAAATTGAGTGTTTTTTTAGTATACTATTTGCAGGCGCGGATTGAATTTCCGAGCTCTTCTAAAGCACTAAAAAGTCCCTGTTCTGGCCAAATTTTCTGCGCCGCAGGCAAATTTTTGACGTTTTTTTGGCGCGCGCTCCCCCTCAAAGTTAGTATATATTGGCGCCCAAGGCTTCTTTAGAAAAATTTTAGGGTCGGTCGGCAAAAAATGGATTTCTTAAAAAGTATCAAAGGGGGGACCCTTTGGGTCGGCAGGGGGTCGAATCCCTAAGGTGGGGGGGGGGGGGGGCGAGGCGTCCGCCCTCCCCCCCCCCCCTAAATCCGCCCCTGTACCATTGACTTTTTTCCAACTGTCTGTTTATTATGTTTATCTCTTCAAAAATTGAAGTTTCGGTACTGATTTGTTATTTTTAACGCTGTATAACAAAAAAAAACAGATACACCTCAAAGAAGGAGGGACTCTTTTTTCCGTTTTTATCCCCTTACAAAATTTCGTTAAAAGTGACCCTTTATTTTCGTTCCGAGTTTTTGTAACGTGTCGTTTGTTAATTTTCATGAAAACAAATTAACAGGTTCAAATTTAATTCTTGTTTGATTGGCTTTGATAGGGCTCTAGGGCTTAGGGTTTTTCTAATGTCCGGTTAAAACTTTGTGAAGACAGCAATGGTGCATCAAACTGGATATAAGAACTTATTTAGGGATAATTGTCATCAAACACTTGTTCGCTTCGGCAATTTTTCAAGGATTGCTTCAAATATGCAACTAGGTTCTTGTACGTTTTGATCAAAGGCTGATTGAATGGTTTCAGAAGAACTATCAGCAAAATAGAATTGATGAAGCTGTAGGAAATTTTCAGCGATCGAAATAAAGTCTCCAAAATGAAGTTGGCGCGATGCTGAACATATTTCTCTCTTTGATTGGCCAAACTCTCGCCTAGAAGAATCGGATTGCAATGTCTTGTTTTGATCTACTTTTTTAAAGGAATTTATAAACACTTTTTAACTTCTCATCAAGAAGAAACTAGTTTCCCTAAGAAATTATTTCAACAGCGAAAAAATTATCGCATCCATATCAAGTAGATATTGGTTTTTAACACAGTAAACTGAAGTTTTTTAACAGCGAAGAAATTTCTAGTTGATTGCAACATATAAAGGAGGCTTTTGAAATTTTTGACATGATTGCTTGCTATATCGTCTTAAAGCCAGGCATCAAAGTCAGATCTACAATTTGGTCAAATTTTAGAGTTAAATCATTAATTTTACCGTTTTTCTCAATCTTGGTGACCTTAATGGGCCACAAACACAATGCGAACAAAACGAAAAAAAACTTGAAATTCTGAATGCGTTTTTATTTCAAATTAGGTTGACAGTAGACAAAAAATGATAAAGACCAAACAAAATTCGTACTCAGTATCCGAACTGGAATCGTAAAGATTTTGGATTTAGTCAATTGAAAACTACGCTAAAACTGAAGTTTCAATTGCTGGAAGAATTATACTAAAGTGAGCCTCTTATGCAGTCGAACAAAGTTCAGTGAAGATATAATGTTCTTACAATTATTAAACAATTTTTTATGAATCTTGATACATCACAAACGCACAACTTTTTGATGTTAAACATCAAAAATTGATTGAAAAGATTTTTTGAATGATTTTGCGAAATTCTGAAGCTTATGTTCTCTTTGAATTTTGTTGAGCTGCATAAGAGCGTCACTTTGATAAAGTTTTGTCAGCAATTGAAGCACTTTTTCTGGCTTATTTTTTAACAGACCAAACACTATTCAACTTTGGGGTAAATTATGTTACCCGAGTTTTGCAAATTACATTAGGCAATTATTTTTCATTCAAGTTTCTAAGCAAGTTTGGTATCAAAATATTTTTGTTTTCTGGGTAGTTTAAATCAACAGTGTAGCAACTTTAAGTCATTTTGAAGGCAAGTTTTTTTTAAAAGTGCTTTACTTGCTCAACTGAGATAAACAAACTGTCTTGAAAAAACAAAATGAGCAGTTAAAGGTTGATTGTTATCGTTCAGATTTGTTGACTGAAAGAGATAGTGACAACAGTTTGTTTTCATTTATGTAAGATTCCGCAACACACACTCAAATTAATTTGACAATTGAGCCTGTAAATTTAGTGTCTAATTGAGCTGAAACAGTCACTTTAAAAGAAAAGCCTCCAAAGTGACGTTAATAAATAGGCGTGTTGTTGATGTAATTGCTAAAAAGGGGCCTACTAACTTGTGCCTTCATTGTCGTTTAATTTCAGTACTTCATAATCGAAGATTATGGAGATTGATTCATCGTTTTGTCTCGTCTGTCAAACAAAAAATTTGACTTTCCTATAATTCGCTAGGAGCGGGAAGGCTCGCTTCTGAGAGTTTTGAGTAAACTTTGTCCCAGAGGCAGTTTTAGGATAACCGAAAAACCTCCCTATGCTCCCCGTAGTTTTGTTGATAGGAGTCACTTTAGGACGGCCGCCGGGTTTTCTTTCAGTTTGTCAAGTTTTAAAGATTTTGAGTGCGATGGACGATTGAAAAGATGTCGTATGTCATGCAGACTAGCGTTACGGTTTGAGAAATAATTTTTGATGCTTTGAACAGTCTCGACAAAAGACTATTTTTTGTGTGCTATATCCAGAGCGGAGTTGAGCAAAAGTAAGTCGTAAAAATCTGGTAAGACTGTTTTTGTCTGAAACTTTAGTGGAAATTGAGACCTAGTCAATTTATTGGGTTTTTGGACATTGGATTTCTTGTATTTGAATGCATTTGAATGAATTGAGTTGTCTTGAAGCGATTTCGTTTTCATCCTGTGTCACATAATCATTTTCATCTTTTTCATCAGTTTTTTTTCGACGTGAACATTGTAATTTAAAAAAAAAAAATTGGTTCTTTAAATCATGAAAATGGGGTTGCGCTTGGTTAGGTGGTGTTCACATCGTTCTTGTTGGTTAGAACATGTTGAGCAATTTTTCATTGTGTTTTTTGTTGCGGTATTTGAGTTTCACAAAGATGGTGTTCGGTTAGAGTCATTTTTTGCGCTTTCAGTTATATTCATAAGTTCTGTTATTTGTCAGGTTTGAAGCTCTCTCTAAATAGATTCTTTTACTGAAAGTGACCAGACAGGAGCTTCGTAATACATAACTTAAAGTAATACATAAAGTTGTTGCGTTCTTGGAATTTATTTGGGAATAATGTCGAATAATGTCAGTGAAATTGAAGAGGTTATCAAAAGTGACTCCTAGATGTTCAGGGTTTTGGATAGTAGTTAGTATAAGCTTTTGAATACTATTTTAGACTGATTATTTTTTCTTTGTTTCAAAATGTTATGATATCCGCTGAGGAATTGTCAACAGATCGTTTTAAGTTGCGTTTTTGAAACCAACGATATAAAATATTTAAGGATGTACCTCTAGTTCAATTTCAGTGTTGTTAGAACGAACCAGTGGTTGTCACAGAAACTCAATCTACCTTTAATGTTATTTGGATGCTTATATGGTTAACTTTGATCGATGTTAGCTGCTCTTCGGGTCTAGCACTTCTTGGAACAAAATTAAGACGGAGAAAATTAATGATGTGCAACTGTTTACTTACTCGCTGTGTTATTTCTAGATTCCATTTAAAACTATTATAAATGGACTCACTTATTGTAATTATACTAAATTAGACTAAATGATAAAAACAAAAACAAGATTATAGGAGAACCCTTGTCATCTCTTAAGAAAACCTTCAAAAATATGGATATTTTCTTGACCTTCAATTTTAACAGGGGCTTATAGTTGACACTCTACACAAACACAAAAAATGTTGCCGCTAATTTTAAGAGAAGCAGTCAAGAAGCGAAAACCAATCCAATGTTGTGTACGAAAACTCCTAACTGCGACAAACGTACGAAGTTTTTGATAATCTCAAAAAGTTTTCTCCTACTTATAATCCTCCAACCGTCCGACCCATCCGCTCAAAAGTAACAGAAAAATCTTGAAAATCATGTTTTGCCGCTCGTCTGTTTTAATTTCCCAATCCGTTAACCTCATACTTCAGTTTTTGACAACTTAAGGTTTTTCATGCATCACTTTTTTTCATGGATGATTTTACTCTTTAACTGGTATATGGTTAGACAAAATTCTTGCAATCACTTTGCCGAAAACTTTACTGCATACAATTTCCGATTTACTTTTAGCACACTGCCATTTGTTACCTAGCGGCGTGAGAAAGACAACATACAAAAAAATTTTGATATATTTCTTATCAAATTTGGTGTTAAAATTTTTGTCTATTGCCATTTTGAGGAAAACCGTTTTTAAGTTTTGTTTTCTTTTCCGGATTTCTTAAATTAGCATTGTAACAATTCTTAGTTAAATTCGAACTTTTGAAACTACTTTACATGCTTAAGTCAGTTACAAGTTGTTGTGTAACAGCAGAAGCTATAGGTTAAAAATTTTCATTCAAATTCGTTGATTGAAAACATAATGACAAAAATTTGGCATCAGATAAATACGATAACGCAACTCACAAACTCAATTGAAAATAATCAAAGGAAGCTCTGAGTTGTGTTTTCAATTGGGTTGAAGCTGTCACAATGAAAAAAGTCCTCCTAAAAACAACCATAAAAGATAGGAGTCATCCGGCTGGATAGTTAATATTGATCTCAAATCAGTTATGTTCAGTTTCATTGTGTATTTCAAATGATAGGTAACTTTAAACAATGTGCTGCTCGTGAGAACTTTCATTCCTTGGGGCCAGATGGTTTAGACGGAGAGAATTCAAGTTGTGAAAATGTTTATTTACTATCTGATTTGTTCTAGATTCAAGTTGATAATTCTAGGTACAGACTCAGTTATTTTTTATACTTACATAGACGTAATATTACCGTATTGCCAAAAAAATAAGAAGAATATAGCAGAACTAGCCAGCCATCTACTTAATAAACATTGAAACTCAAACTATGGATCTTTAACTGGATCCTTAACTTTAAAAAGTACGGCCTAAGTCCACGTTCATTAAAAAGTCAAGAAAAATTGAGCACTGTAAGCAAGTTCCAAAACTTGTTGCTGCCATGTTTGAGAGAAGCAGCCAAGAAGCGAAAACTAATCCAATGGAGTTCAAGAAACCTCAGAAGTTGCGAATAGTTTGAATGGTTGTTGATAGTCTCGAAGCGTTTTCTCCGATTCAGTATTCCGACTCATCCGCTCAAAAAGAAACATAAAAAAAATTAATAATTCTAGAAAAACTCCAACTTTGCCGTTCGTTTTTCCCAAGCCTTTAATTCCGAAGTCAGTTTCTGACTATTTCAAGTTTTTTTTATGTAAAAAATATGGGTAATTTTTTTCTACACGTAGTCTATTTTTGACAAGTTCGGTGATATCATGGATCTTCGACGACAATTGTACTGCATGTAAATTTCAGCTTACTTTTATCACGCTGCTGTTATCCAGCGGCGCGAAGAAGTTAACTTACAAAAAGTTCCCGATAACAGCTTAGCAATGTTTATTTTATACCTCTATAGTAGAAAATCTGATCATATTACTTGAACTTCGTTGAAATTCAACTTAACATTCTAAACTTCTTCTCTTAAAAAGTAAGCTGATCCAACAATTTTTATATTGTTGTGTTTTTGTCATTTTTTGTCCTGGAAAGAACTATCGATACATGTGCAATCTAATTTTGACCACCTTCATGGTAGCCTCCGTAAACCATATATATGAGAAACCAGTAAAAATCAACGTAGCTTGCGTCGCCGGTGTATTCATCGATTTCGGAGTCCCACTTGAACAAAGAATATAGAGACGCTTTAATGGTATACGGCGTGACGCAGATTACCCAACCGACCCACAAGATCTTGAACGATGTCGCCAAAAGTTCTTTTCTCTCAACTTGTTTCAGTTCCGTGAGATTTGTTGAAGTTTTCTGGTAAAGAAAGCCGGATATTACTAGCAAGGGGAGGAACACAGTTGCAGGTAAGATTGTTTTGAGGAATAGATCCGATTGAATGCAATCGTTGCACTGAAATAAATATACTTGTTACTGCGAAAATAATGTTCAAAGCAGACAAAAAGCTACTTTTTTGCAATTAAAAAAAAATGTATTGCCATAAAATGTATTGCAAAAATGTATTACAAAAAAATGTAATGGGGGATTTTCCGGTGCAATGCCTGATTGATACTAAAACAGGTCTTTTGCCGTTACACTTTTTAAATGTTTCTTTTGAAAAATACCTTAATGTTGTCACAGAAAAATGAGATTTTGCAATAAATAATCACCACACAATTGTTTTTGATACCTACCGTACGAGGTCAAAGTGTGAGCTCTTTCGTCTTTTCCCCCCACCAGCGAAATTGGGGGAGGAAAAAGAGCTAAGCTGTGTACTTATTAGGTTCACTAATTTAGGCGATTATATCTGTGAAATCTATGTGCAACGTAATTTTTGTGGGAAATTTAAAAAAGTGTTTGAAAAAACTGATAGGGGAATCCGCATTTTTTCAGTTGATTCAGTTGAAATCTGCGCTAATTTTATTATTAGTGTGAACATTTAAAAGCTCGCTCGAATGATAGCAAGTGCAGAATTTGCTATTAGAGATTTAACCATTGTCAAAAGAACCTAATGACATTTCTAAAAAAAATAGTTAACAAAAATTGGTTAAAATAAATCGTGGATGTACCCTATATTAACCAGGAATAAACCTCGACTCCTAAAAAAAAATTTCCAATCCGCCATTACGATAAATTAAAGTGATGTTTTGGTTGAACTAGTCCTTATAACAACAAATACAACGCTTTCAATACCTTGAAAAACTATATAAATTAAACTTCGAAGTATCCAAATAGAAGATAAACAATGAATTTTTATAAATAAAATTGCTATAAAGTTTGAGAAACCCCGTGAGATGAACAATTAACGGACTTAAGGTTTAATTGCTTAATTGAGAAACAATAAATTACGAGCACGCAGTTGTCCATAACAGCTTGAAAAAATCTCTAAAAACAGATAAATGTTTTGTGGATGAAAACGTAATAAAATTTTGTCATACAGTCTAATAAGGCAGATGCAAAAAACAATCAAAGTATAAAAACTTGTTACATTATAAACTGATTGCATTTATCAGATGTCCTGCACTCAGTAAAAAAAGAAAATAATCCATTATATTACAATTACAATTGTACCTTTATGGAAAAATTTTTAATTAATTATAAGCGCCAAGTTTAGCTGTTTGAACGATTTATAATCCACTATAATGAAAACGTTTTTCGTGACACCATAAAAAATTAAAATTTTTCCGAAAGTCTCCTATAATCTCTTATAATCTCTTATAATCTATGATAATCTATTGTAAAAGATTATAATCCTTCTTTCTTTCAAAAATCTTTAAAAGTGAGATGTCTTGTCACTCTTTGGCTTATCGGAATACAAAGTTTTACCACGAAACAAAACTTGCATAAAGATCCCTTCATAATAGTTGAAAAAATCCCACGGTATGTGAAATATAACACTTCTATATATCAAAAATGAAACTAAAGCAGTGTGCTGATAATTTTGGATGTCAAAAACACTTAAATTGTGCATAATGAAACACTATAATCAAAACGAAGTGAAAAAATAAAAACTTTATAAATTTGATTTGATTTGGAATTTTTTAAAACATTTTTCTTATTTTTCACATGAACCACGTCTACAAAAAGCATAAGACATAAGCAGGTCTGATGCAAGGTCAAAGACAAAATGGGCAAACAAAAAGGATTATAAACGAAAAAAATCTATTCAAATGGATTTTTTCTGCAAAACAATTAGATTAGAAGTTCGGATAAAACAATCGATTATAATCGATCACAAGGGATTTTTTTTGCAAAACAAATAAATAGAAATTCGGATAAAAATAATCGATAATAATCGATTATGATGTATTATAACTGATCATTTTTCAATACAAAAAGAGAGATTAAAATCGATTAATATTTGATGAAAATTAATTTTTCCTCATTTTTTGTAGGAATGATACTAAAGTTTTATTATCATCGATTATTAACGCTTGAAGCTGCATGCGGGTTGTCAATCAATTTGCGTTTTTTTGAATTCAATTCCTTGGAATGAAAAGCTTGTTCACCAAAAAATTAGATAATTTTGATTCAGTTCTGTTTACAAACATTTTTAAGCTTGAAAATCGAGCTATTGGTTATTTACTTAAATAATTGAATATTTTTTCTCCAAAAACTGATGTAAACGTCACTTCAAAAATTTTTTGACCTCAAATTTGATAAAAGTATAATCTGAAAACAGCAAAAAAGCCAGAAAAAGTATCTTAAGTTAAATTTGATAAATTTGCTGTTTTACGCGTGACCCTCATTAATATTCTAAGCTTCTTGGCAGGGGCGGTTTTAGAGGGGGGCGAGAAGGGGCTGGACGTTCTTCTTTTTCAGGTATTCGACCCTCTGCCGTACCAAAGGTTTCACCCCTAATACTGTTTTGAGATAACGGAGCCTATTTTTTTTAATGGCGCCTTTGGCGCCAATATATTTAATTTTTGAGTTGAGAGTGTACGCCGAAAAAACACAACTTTCTGAAAACGCACTTTTGGCATATATTTTTTAAAGTTCTTGCCTGCGGCGCGGAAAATTGATCAAAACATCAAAACAGGTTTTTTTTAGTGCTATGAAAGATCTCGGACAACCAATTTGGTCGGCCTACAAAATGTCGACAAATTTTTTGAAAACTTTTGAAGATTCATCCCCCTTCCCCAGAAAATCCTAGATCCGCCCCTGTTTCTTGATGATATCGGTCAATTTTCAACAATTTTCATTTCTTCTTTGATTAGTAAATGGGTAATATCTAAATTTTTAATAGTTACAAAACGTAGAAACATTTAAAGACCGGATTTAGGATGCCATCAGCTCAAGAATTGAACAATCCAAATCAAGTTTTTATCTTGCCCGGGTTGACCTCCACACACCAAAAATGCCTATCAGACAATTTCATGCATCATTTGTATAGAAAATTGCTTGTCATACAATTTTCGTTAACTTCGAAAAAGGGCTGAAAGAAGATATAAACTAATTTCTGCGGCTGTTTGATTCTAAAAAAGGGGTCTGGTGATGAAAAATTCGACGTTTTAATTTAAAAAAAATTGATCATACAATTCTCATACATAAAAGTAGTATAGATATACGACACTGGGATCGGGGGGGGGGGGGTGATCCCTACAGGGATCATTGGGTATAGATTATACCTAATGATCCCTATGTAAATATTTATACCTAATGATCCCTATGTAAAATATTTATACCTAATGATCCCTATGTAAAATATTTATACCTAATGATCCCTTTGTAAAGTATTTATACCTAATGATCCCTATGTAAAATATTTATACCTAATGATCCCAATGTATAACTTTTATACTTAATGATCCCTATGTATAATTTTTATACCTAATGATCCCTATGTATAATTTTTATACTTAATGATCCTTATGTGAAAGTTGTGTTGGTTAAAACAAAATCGTACTGTCGATATATTATTTCTTTCCGCCACCTATAGCTCGGCAAGCTATGTTGTATTCCAATTGAACTAAAACTTTTTATTGTGTTTTGCTGTTGAAGGTCTTTGCGAATTGGTTCTTTCAATGTTTCTACAAACGCTTTGGTCTTGGTGAAAAGAGATATGAACTGAAAAGGTTGAATTATACACACAATCTTCTGAAGTAAGTGTCGGTTAAACGCACTAAAAGCAGTTTGGGGTCAATTCCAATATGAAAACTCTCAAAACCACTCCAGATAAAATAGTAACACAAAACCAAAAGTGGATTTAAAGTAGCCCGCCATTACCTAACAGTGAACAAACGTGGAAAGTAAGTATAATACAGTTCACTAATTTACAACATTAAATTTTGTATTCAACTTGAATCAAACACACAACATTAGAGTTTTTTGTTTGTTTTACGTCTTTTTGACTGCGGTGCTGAATCTTCAACTGCTTCGCGGTCGAGGTACCATTCATCATCCGACGACGAAGAAGAAGTAACTGCGTTTGGATCAACCAAATCATCGCTTTCGATATCACTCTCAACAATTTCTGTGACACGAACTCTACCTGGATCTGGAGCTTCATAGCTGGTGATACTATTTAAGAGGTCTCTCAACGAACGGCTCGGTTGAGTATCTAACACAAGAAAGCTATCTTCTGACCCAAAATTCGTATCCTGCGTAAAGATTTCTTCTTGGTTCGAGCTCTCGTGATCCCAGTCGACTATCTCATCTTCTTCCTCGAAAAATTTCAGCCAATCGTCTAAATCTTGATCTTTGTGGTGACTGGTGCTATTAGTTTCACTCACGTTCCTTTCGCTATCATCATCATCATCCTGATTGCTATCGGGAAAGATAGAAGCATTTACTGTTCTATAGTGACCGTATGGCAATGTAGAGATACCATCGCTGAGGATGTATCGCTTATCATCATAGGCTGATAATGCGATTTTGTTTGCTCGAACAATGTTCAGAATATGCCTCTCGGAGATGATGCGAGTATTTTCGGCTCGTACAAGGTTTCCAGACGCGAGAGTTTCGATGTATTTTTCATGAGTTAGCAACTGTTGAGTCACCTTAGTGATTCCTTTTGCTGAGTGCTTCCGTGTATCTATTAAAAAAATGATGCTCACTAATCATTATATATCTAAATGTTTTGTAAACTAATACTTGAAATTGAAAAAAAAAGTATGAACGCATCCTTTTCAGAAGATCCACCCCCCTTTAAAAAAAGGTGATAACCATTTAACCTATACACCCCCCCTTACCCCCACCCACAGAAGCACCAAAAAACCTAAGTCATCTCAAAAAATTTCACTCAGAAAAAAATTTTTCACAAAAAATTTTTTTCATAAAATTTTTTTTTCCAAAAAATTTTTTTTTTCAATTTTTTTTCCATATTTTTTTTGATGACAAATTTTTTTTTTCATAAAATTTTTTTTTTCCAATTTTTTTTTTTGATGACAAAATTTTTTTTTACAAAACTTTTT